TTCTACTCTTTCATGTGTATGTTGAGTGATTTTGGGGTTGGGATTTTTTGGCAGTGTGTTTGCAAGTTTAATCGTTCCTTTGTGGCTTTTCTTATTTTTGCCACACAGTTAGATTTATTAATGAGAAAAAATTAACTGCACTTCAAGTTCATTTTGAAGGAACTATAAGGATTGAGAGCTAACATGCAGCTCCCTCTCTATAGGCACATCAGCCTGTTGTCCTTGAGTGCCAAGTTTGTAGGCCATCACAGTGGCAAGGAGCAAGTCTGACTTCAGTAACATGTGAAGACAGTTCTCATTGCAGCTGTAACCTGCTGTAACCTCTAAGTGAGTGGACCATTCTACAACCACATACTCGCATGGGAAACCTCACTGGAAAGAGGTTTCATAGAATCATAGAATAGCTTGGGTTAGAAGGGGCCTCAAAAATCATGCCCCTGCTGTGGGCAGGGTTGCCAGCCCCTAAATCAGATTGCCTAGGGCTCCATCCAACCTGACCTTGAACACCTTCAGGGATGGGACATCCAAAGCTTCTCTTGGCAGCCTGTGCCAGCACCTCACCACCCTTTCTATGAAAAATTTCCCCCAAAGTCTACTCTAAATATCGTTTCTTTTAATTTTAAAAAAGTGCCCTATCACTATGTACCCATGTAGGTTTATTAAACTCTTCTGAAGATCAGGTAGATGTATGCTGCTGCAGACATGAGTCATGCATCCAGAGTCTGTTTCCTCTATGAGCATGTGCGCATAGAGCACATGTGGCTACCTCTGCCCAGTTCTAGAGAGCCTGTGGAACTTAAAGGAATCTGTTCATTTTCAGCACATTTCTAGCCACAATAGTTATCACTGAATAATCAAGGTTGGAAAAGACCACTAAGATCATCTAATCCACCTGTCACTCCCTCACCAATCCCTCATGCCCACTAAACCATGTCACTGTCATTCAGTTTGGTCTCGAGTGGACCAAGCATTATGTTGTAGATTTGACGTTCTGTGCTAGAAGGTTTTAGAAGCTATTTGTTTGTTAAACTGTTTGCTTTTCTAGAAAATGAAAAATTACCCATATGTTTACAAGCCCCAGTCTGAATAAGCACTGAAAACATTTCAGGATTCAGGTTTTACTTCTTTCTTTATGTTCTGCTGTTTTTTTCCTATGTTTTCACTATTTTTCAGTATCCTAGGCTAGTTTATAGTATTTAAAATGATCACACACCACAGTAGCAATACCAGTTGTTAGAAGTGAGTCTCACAACACCAAGTGGAAGAGATTCCAGAAAGCTCTGTGGGCAGAAGCAGCTTCTTAAGAGTTTAATCCATTCTTAGAAACTATGTGATTTTCCATTTCCTAATATGCTGGCATTCCCAAAGCAGCAACTAACAACTACTAGTATTACAACAAAAAGTTGTGAAATATTCCACTGTTCATTTCTTTTGAGGGTTGTTTTTTTCAATAATGCATTTAATTACCTGGGGGTTTGGGAGGCTGATTTCTTTTTCTTATTTTCCTTTGCTTTTCATCTTTGTTTGGCAGTATGTTGTTGATTTCTTTTTTCACAGCGGCAATTTTTGATACCAACTACTATATTGTGTAACTAATGGGGTACACCACAGGCTTACTGTTAGGCAGTGCAGTGCCTTCTCCTCAGACCTTTCCCTCCCACAAGAGGGCAACTGCTGAGAACAACCTTCCTGCCTACTGTGCACACATCTGTTAGCTGATGCTTAGAACAATTATAGGCTCTTTCTCTCCCTACCATGAGTCTCCAGAATCAAATTGTTCAGTTCTTCATGACAATAAATCCTCCAACCCTACATAGCCTCCAATGCTTTTCAATACTGGCTGGAGACAAGTAATAATTTATTCATATGTCAGAAAATAATTTGAAAAATGCCAAGAAGAAAAGAAAAATGGGATAGAAAAAAATTGCATTCTGAGACATTCTGAGGTAGGTTTTTGGGTTGTTGCTTTTTTTTTTTCCTTTCAATGTCCTGAATGTGGAAGAAGTTTGGAGGCTGGATAAAAGAATTAGAGGGGAAAGGTGAGAAAACACTTGAAAATACTTGCAGGGAAGTATGAAGTCCTGTCAAGCACTTTTAATTGTTTTATCATTCAGATAGCAAGGTCAGAAGGAGCATACTCAGCAATGCCAAACAGGACATTCTGTAAGATGGAACAAAAAATTGCTCATTCTCTGGCCTGAAAAGTGCTGTGTCTTTTTCTAAAGGTTTTGTTTTCTCATAATCTATTATCTTTTTTCTCTTGTACGTAGAATGAGAAACTCAAAATATTTAGGAAGAAAGCAGCGTTTAGCATCTCTTTTCTGTTGGGATTTGTAATTTCAGGATCTGAAGTACAGGAATTATGCTGACTTTGGAAAAAAAAAAAAAGACAGGAATAAATTGTTGCCAGTTCTCCCAGTACTGTCAGAAGGAAATGACAAAATAGGGCCCAACAGTCTCCAATTTCAAGTGAATCTGTAGGAAAGGAAACTGTCTGGAGTAACAAGTAGAGAAACTTCTTACATTGTCCCTTCGTTTCTCAAAGATTCTGGCTTCTTACAAGGGAAAAGTAACTGGGCTGTGTAGACAGAGGATTTTTTCTCCCCTTTTTGTAGCTTTACCAAAAACATATTCAAATGAACAATCTTGAAACATTGCAATCCTGCAGAAACACAATGCAGTGGAACCATTTAGATTTTCTTTATTAAACCAGGCTGTGGATCAGGATTCTTGAAGCAACAGAGTTGTTATAATTTGTCCTTAATCAAGCTAAAATAATCTTAGAAGTGTGTCATGAATTTGCAGACTCCTTTACTCAGTGGAAAATTGCCTCTCCCTACTTCTATTTTTAGCTACATTCCTTCAAAGCTGATAGCAATAGTAATTCTGCTAAATATTTGTTTGAGATTTGAAACGAAGGAAAGAGCAATACAGAGACAGCATTTTCCTACAGTGAGTAAAATAGTCTCCTTCCCTTTACCTGGAGGAGAGGTTGGTCCAAAACCTTTCTCATGCTATTGTGACTTTAATTGCCCAGAAACCTACATTATTAAAACATAAGCACGTTAAGCATTCACTGGAATGTTTATTGATTATCTTGCTGTAACATCCAAAATTCTGCTTGGAGTATTTCTATATTGTGTATCCAGGACGTTTATGGAGAAGTATCATAGAGTCATGGAATCATAGAATGGCCAGGGTTGAAAAAGACCATAATGATCATCTAATTTCGACCCCCCTGCTATGTGCAGGGTCACCAACCACCACACCAGGCTGCCCAGAGCCACATCCAGCCTGGAAGTACAGTGTGTATTGTAGATTCCTACATGATGGAGAGAAACTTAAATCTGACATATTTCCAAATGAAATCTCTCAAAAATATCAGTTCTTCTATGCTGTAAATTAAAAAGAGAAGGTCACCGGTTTTGAAGTCACAACAGCAGCATAAGTTTGGTAATTTAGAAACTGTGGTTTTAGATTCTGTTATTTATTCTACTCAGAGACCTTCTGATATTTCCTGTGTTCTGTCAGTCGTAGCTTCCTATTGTTTTAACTGCCTTTATCTCCTGTTACATGAACTACCAAAACAAGTAAAAGACAAGTTGGCTGACTTTAGGGAAAACAGTGAAATGAATTATATATGTAGCACTTCTAAAAGCAGAGAAATTAAGTAAGGGGGAGAACGCAGAACATTTCTAAATTGTCTTGTGAAATTATGGATCATCATATGCTTTGAAATTGCTGAAAATCAAAATATTTTTTTTTAATTCATGTATTTAAAACTATTATCCTCGTTTTTCTTTAACTTGACTTCTGAGTAAGTTACATTACGACTGACGTGCTAATAGCCTGATGAGCTGGGTTCTGCTTTCCTATAATATTACTGCATTGTTCGCTAAGTACTTGACTTTCAGAATAAAAACTGAATTTTCAAAGCGAGCTCAAAGTACCAAAACTGGGGTGCCAAGATAATCAAATCTGTCAATGTGAGATTTTGTGATGCTTTGAAACTTATGCTTTCTTCACTGGAGAACACATATGCCACTAACTTACCTATTTGCCCTTCAAGGAATTGCTTCGTGGTATTCCTCTAAATAGGAAGATAATTGCTTACTGCAGTGAGGCAGTTCAGTAAAAGATTCAATATGGATATTAAGTTTGTAGTACTTGATAGTATTTTTAATTTCTTTTTATTGGTCTAGTGCTTTTAAGCCACTGGTTTCAATTCAGGATGGCACACTGAATGTCAGGTAGACACATAAAACATCATGAAAACACATGGGCTAGAAACAGATGGTACTAGGCATATGTAGAGTGATGTAGGTTTTCTGAACATGTTATGTTTCTGTCGCTGACATTTCCTGTGCTCCTGTGGGCTGGGACCCAGTCTCAGTGCAACACTGGAGGAAGGCCTGTATCTACAAAAATGTTCAGAGTTTTTCAGAGTTGTTCTTCTCTACAAGTACAGCAGAGGACGTCATTGCTGTTGCACACTAGGGTTCTTTACTGCTTTCCCCACTGCTTTGCAAAGTGATATACTGCAGCAAGAAACTATAACTTCTGTTTCACTTCAAGAAGTACAATTTAGGAGCTGGGGTAATTTGATGGATAGTAGATACTAAGAAAAATATTAGAACCTGAGAAAGGCCACATAGTCCACCGAGGCTCATTTCATTCAAGATACACCTTCCCTAGGTTATCATCCAATTGTTAAGAGAAAGAGTAATGTTATCCATTTTTTATAATTCTACTTCTGGGTATTACAGAGATAAATACGTAGATGCTGGAGAACTAACTTTCTTTCAGAGCACTATTTCAGGAGAAAAATACTTAAATGCAGATAGGTGGGATGACAGAAAAGAAATTGACCCTAAATGAAAAATATGATGATAGCGATATGAATACATGTGGATAATCATGGTTTCTCAAACTACCCCAGGGACAAGCTTCTAATCACAAGACTTAAAGAAAGTAACCTTTCCTTTGATTTATTGTTTCAGGACCAATGCAGGAGACAATATATGACTTTTGGAGAATGGTATGGCATGAGAACACAGCCAGCATAATCATGGTTACTAATCTCGTAGAAGTGGGAAGGGTAAGTGATTTTCGCACTTAAAAAGATGAAAGACTTCCAAGGTGTTTGCTTTTGGAAATTAAATAGCAGACCAACAAGATGCTTATATACTGAGTAAGGCACATAAAATATTTATAGCTGCCTCTGCTAAGAGATTCATTACCAATTATTTTTAAGCATGCTTTGGATGCTTGGCTTTGATAACAGTAGCCCAGTAAAAACATAACTGATAAAGTTGTATTCTGTACAGCACAGCTTGCAATGACTGCCAAAGAGGGAAAGCGTCATACTTTTTCTATTAGGGGAAATTGGGGAATTAGTTACAGAACGAGATATGGAGTCATCTTTTTTTTAAGGAGGAAAAGGAAAGTTATTCTGGAACAGATTTCTGAGAAGTATCTAAACTATGAAATTGCAACTTCTTCACAATATGTTAGTTCAAATCAATCCAGTTTGGGCATTTCTTCTTGTAAGCCTTCTGGACTAAAGCAGAATAAATTGACTTTACTCATTTGTAGACAGTACTGTGTGTTTGAGAGACATTTGGACGATGCCCTCTACAACGTTTTAACTTTTTGTTGGCACTGAGATGCTCTGGCAGTTGGATCCAATGATGTTTGAAGGTCTCTTCTAGCTGAACTGTTCTGTTCTTTTCTACCAAATTTATTGACCAGAAGCTCTTCTTCAGGAGCTCGGTAGTTAAGGAAAGCTTAAGTTACCTGACTGATAATGCATACTTTTCTTTCTTTGCTTGACAACTTCTAAAGTAGGTGTCCAATTCAACTGATTATGGCTAATTTTGTTTTCAACAAGTATTGAACAGACACATTTTATTTGTTTTTCACAACCGTCAATAACTGAGTGTTTTAATTTACTGCTTTGTCTATATACTGGTGTCTTACTTTTCATCTGGAATGTTCTGTTGTTTGTTGGTTGTTTTTTTTTTTTCCTTTTGAAGCTTTCATTTGAAATGAAAAAAAAAAAGCCACTGCTTTTATTGCAGCTACTGCAACTATTGTAGTGTTGAATTATTGTTAAGTGTTAAAATAAGAAGTGCACGTATCTTGGTGTGAGCCACATGGTTTTGAGACATGTTCTAAATTTCATGCTGGTGGAGTGACTGATCTGTGGTGTTTCTACTAGGAAAGAATGTTCCTAATGTAATATGAGTCCAAGGGCTGGGTCTTGTCTCTTTTAACAAGTCCAGTTTTACAAACTGAATTTATTCTTCTTTATGTCCTTGGTCAATTGCTAATATAAATTCTAACATGTAGATACCTCTGTGCAAATCTGCCAACAGATCAGGTGCAAGTATTATTTTTAGCTATAAAAAAGGTAGGATTTCTGACTACAGTTAACACCTGCTGCAGGAATACAATGTACAGCTAATTGCAGAGACAAAGAGCATCATGGAGGCTGCTTTGAAAGTTCAGTCCCTCGAGTGAAGAGGAGGATAGAAACAGTTGGGCTACTTAGAAGTTCAAAATGAATTTGTACAAATAGGAATCATAAAAGCATATAATGGTTTAGATTGGAAGGGGCCTTAAAATCCCAGCAAATTTTGCATAGCTTTATAGACATTCTTAAGTACTAAAGCACACAGAAAAAAAGGGGATAGGTGGATGGAAGGGATGGATGAACAAGCCTTAGAACAAAACCAGCATACTACATAATGCCACATCCTCTTTTCCTGAAATCCTCATTTGAAAGCATCAATTAGTGTGAACTTCAGGTACCACCCGCGGACACGCCAGGTTTGCTGCCAGTGTTGAGGCCTCTGCTCACTCTGTATAGTTAGGCAGCGTATTTCCTTACTGGTGAGAAACAGTTTGTGCCACTGTGGAGATTTCTTTGGGGTGCAAGAGTCCTAGTGGGATACAGATCTGCAGTTTTCTTGCTTCTGACAGTGGTAGAAATGACTTTGTTCTTAGTTTCTCTGGAGGCCATAGGTGAGATAGGAGAGCAAAATTAAAATGAGTTTCCAAGGGACATGAGATTGTATGAGCCACAGAGCAATGCAGTCCTTCCTCCATTGGTGCTTCTGTCCCACTCCCAGGGCGTGAACCATCAGCAACAAGGAGGCATATTGCAACGCACCATCTGTCTTGCAGCCCCAAACACAAACTCTGTGCCACCTTGATTAGTAATGATTTAAATGGGCCTTTTGGTAGCATTCCTATGGGGCAAACCTTGTAACCTTCCTGACCTTGAGGTTTTCTATTTCAGGTGCAGTAGCTGATAGAAGATTTATAGGGGCCTATTATTTCATATTTTTTAACCTCTTACCCATTTTAAGTAAAGGAGAACTTTATGTTCTCAGAAAAGAAGAATATCTATTTAACATGTTTGCTGCACAATTTTTTGTCCTTCATGAATTAATCATTGAGGGGGCGTATGTGTATTTGTTTACCAGGACTGGCTGGATAGTCATTAAATCAGTGCTAGGAACTTGCTTCTTGCCCTCGAGCATTATGCATCAGGACTGTTTTAATTGCGAATGGAGGAATCACCATGAGGCTGTCCCTAATGCAAGCACCTGCTGCAAATGACTCAGTCCCTGCATTACCCTCCAGCAGGGTCTGGGTACATCTGCCAATATCTGTCATTATCTGAGGCATACTTGTCAAAACCATGCATCCCTTTTAGCTCTTGTGTGTTCCAGCAAGGGACCCTTGTCAGTGTTTCTGGCACCTGCAGACTGCTGTGCACCTGGTATTTAAATGGCACAGAAATGTGTTTTGATTGTTTTCTCTCTTTAATGAACCCACCTGAGGGACATTTAGCTCTTTATCCAGTAGCCTGTTACCCAGTCACTCACATTTACACTGCTTGTGTGGAAATTCAGAACTCGCTTGTGCTGTTATACCAATCCATCTGCCAGAAGTCTTATCACAAAATCTGCAGGGCTCCCTAAGGAGACTTTTGTACTGGTAATTTAAGCTAATGATTTCTAAACATATTTAGTCAGTTTTATGAAGACCTCATTAGAATGTGACTGTTTATTAAAAAACTAAATGAGGTCTCACAGTCATTTAGAAGAATCATTGCTGAGTTGCATGAACAGTTCTTTGATAACAGCTGATGAAGTATTTTTTAGTTAAGTCTATGTTGACTTAAGAACTTTTACAAAAAAATGGAAAAAACAGGCAGCCCTTGAAAGACAAAGATAAAAAGTCTATGTTTTCTTCAGGCTGTGGTCAACACTTTCCCTTCTCAATGAGGGCTGCAGAAAGGGAAAGACAAGTAATTAGTGTTGTAATATACCTGTATTTTAGTGCAAAAATCAACATTTCCCAAGCCATGGACTAAGCAAGATTCATCAAAATATATCAACGTGACAACAGGCCAACAGGCTATTAAAAAAAAAAAAAAAAAAAAAAAAATTGGATTACATTCATGCATTTTGGATTATATTCATATAGAGACCTCCATGTTCCTGTAAGTAAGGAGCAATTGTAGGTAGTAGTATACTTTCAGACATCTTTTCCTGAGGGACTTAGCATGATGTGGTGGATTACTCTAAAAGACAGCAACTTTTTGTCCCACATACAGAGGTACAATTGGAAAAGAGGCATAAGAGAGCATCTTGCTTATTCCAGGAGACTACTCTTATAGCTGGATCCTTCTGTAGAAAGCAGTGCAAACAGGATCACTGTCTTCACATACTGGCCAAAGTCTTGGTTTCTTCTTGAAATGTTTTGTTGCTGGTACACATTGAAACTTTTCTCTCCTCCTTAAAAAAAATCACTGGGAAGTCTTAGAAAATACTCAGTTGTGCCATCTAGCTGTCAATTCCATCTTTGCTCTTCTGAGGCTGGTTCTGATACTTGGCTGGGGGAATCAAACTTGGCACGTCACATCATTTGTCATTTGTCAGTAGTCATATTCTCTCCCACTCCTTGTTTTTGCTTGAGGCAGGAGGAATTTAGTAATATCTGATTAATAAATGGTGAAATGCACTGATGAAATTCAGTGGAGGTGGTTGATATATAAATGCATTGCTAAGACTCATGACTGTCTATCATGCTTTTAAAATAACAACATATTTACCAAAAAAATTATGAGAAATAATTATAAAAAATGAAACCTCACCCTAGGAGCATCGTAATTGCAGTAATTAGAGTTTCACAATTATTATCCAGAATTAGAAAACAGCCAGTGCTAATAGTGTTAATAAGCACACAAAAAGACTTTTTTTTTTTTTTTAAAGGAGGCAAAGTTGACAACAACAGAACAGATGTGAGACAAACAGGGGAACAAAGGTCACCATAGGGTGGCAAATAGCCCTTACTCCTGCACATGTGCATTCACACTATCAAAACAGCTTCTCACCAACATCTTCGAGGAGTGTTGAGCTTTCCTGATAACCATCTCACCCTCCTCTGGGTGACTTTTTCACCCTGGAGCCATCAGGGCTGCATAGGGAAAAAGAAAGAACACCGAAAGTTGGCAGCTTAGCTGATCCTCTGCTTGTTTGACTGGACCTGCAGTTGACCTACAAGGCCTGTCATCTGCTTTGCTGCAAAAATGTTGATGGCTTTGATTCTTCATGCTTAAAAAATGTGGGGTCTACATGGCAGTGAGAAGATCCATAAAGCGGTAAAATGTAGCAACTGACAGGGAAGGAACATCTCCTTCGGGCTGGCTGGTTAAAAATCATTCTTTGTTGTAAGAAAAAATCTGTCAGAAAAAGATTTGTTCTTCACGAGAAAGAATCTATATGGTCCCTGTCCTAAGCAATCATATGCGCTTGGGCCTTGAGAGCTCAGGATGTGCAACCTTGTTCAGTGTTCAAGAGACAATTCTAAAGGAGATACAAATGTGTCTCCTGAAAAGAACGAAATCCAGAACTCCTAATTATTTTCAGATTCTCCTTATGGTATGTTTCTGTTATGGGCAGACATCAGACATCCAAGAAAAACTGTCAAGTAAAGTCCTGTCCAAAAGCTCCTCACTAAAACATATTGCTAGAACCAAACAAAAACTTCATAGGCAATTCCAGCAGCATGAAAACTAACCCC